TCCCTGGATCAACTTTACTTATAAATGTTAGTATCCAGTTATATTCTGTGTATCTAAGAAAGAATCCAGGACTTTTAGAAAGCAATCCACTGAGCTGGCCAGAACCAACTCTTGAGGGAGTCTATTCCACATTTTCACAGCTCTTACTGTGAAGAAATCTTTCCGTGTTTGAAGATTAAATTTCTTTTTCTCCAGACGTAAAGAGTGCCCCCTTGTCCTCTGTGATTACCTCAGGGTGAATAGCTCTACACTGAGTTCATTATATGAATCACTAATGTATTTATACATGGAGATCATATCTCCCCTTATGTATTATACATGGAGATCATATCCCCCCTTATGTATTATACATGGTGATCATACCCCCCCCTTATGTATTATACATGGAGATCATATCCCCCTTATGTATTATACATGGAGATCATATCCCCCCTTATGTATTATACATGGTGATCATATCCCCCTTATGTATTATACATGGAGATCATATCCCCCCCTTATGTATTATACATGGAGATCATATCCCCCCTTATGTATTATACATGGAGATCATATCCCCCCTTATGTATTATACATGGAGATCATATCCCCCCTTATGTATTATACATGGTGATCATACCCCCCCTTATGTATTATACATGGAGATCATATCCCCCCTTATGTATTATACATGGAGATCATATCCCCCCTTATGTATTATACATGGAGATCATATCCCCCCTTATGTATTATACATGATGATCATATCACCCCTTATGTATTATACATGGAGATCATATCCCCCCCTTATGTATTATACATGGAGATCATATCCCCCCCCTTTATGTATTATACATGGTGATCATATCCCCCCTTATGTATTATACATGGAGATCATATCCCCCCTTATGTATTATACATGTTGATTATATCCCCCTAAATCTCCTCTTCTCAATAGAGAATAAATTAAGTTCCTCTAATCTTTCCTCATAGCTGATCTCCTCCATGCCTCTTATCAGTTTGGTTGCCCTTCTCTGTACTTTCTCCAGCTCCCCAATGTTCTATTTATGAATTGGTGCCCAAAACTGAACTGCATATTCCAGATGAGGTCTTACTAATGATTTGTACCTCCCCCGGTACAGAGTCCTCTCTCTGGAGTCTATACCTCTTTTAATACAAGAGAGGATTTTGCTCGCTTTAGAAACCGCAGCTCGGCATTGCTGCCATTATTAAGCTTGTGATCTACCAGAACCCCCAGATCCTTCTCCACCATTTGGACACCTAGGAAATATCACTAACTATATGTTTCTTTCTCAGTATTCATTTTGCCTATGTGTCCAGACTTTAGGGACACCCTGTATATTAGATAATTAATAGAATTGTGTTATGATGACGTCTGTGCTATAGGTTTTTATTATGCTGCGCATTCTCAACCAGGGTTTTGTGGAACTATAGGGTTGCTCCAGAGGTTGCTAGGGGTTCCTGAAGCCGTGGCTGACTGACCTTCAAACTGATGTTGAATACATACTTCTGGGGTCAACCCCACTTGGCAGAGCCAGTGACAGCGCTGAGCAAACCCTTTGGCGCTATATAAATACTCTATAATAATAATAATAATGTCAATGGTCTTTTTAGCTGTCTGCAAGGAGGACCATTTTGACCACCACTCTAAGAGGACATTCCTACCACTGACCATCTATGTGCACATTTTCCCAAAGTTATTTTAGCTGGGGTTGCCTGATACCTACATTATTTTAAGGGTTTCTTTCGGAAACAAAGGTTGAAGTAGGTTGAGAAAGTTGTACTAAGCTGTTCACACCCATGACAGTCTGATCATTTTTAAAAAACGTCTAGATATGTGTGGGCATATTTACATTTTTGTTACGTTTTAAAAGAAGACAATTAATTATTTGAAATGCGAGCCTTTTTTTTCCCGATTTGAAATCTTAGAACATTAAAAAATGAATTGTCCGATTCTTCTCTTATAGCACATTTTCTGCACTCATAACAGTTTCTGAAACAATGCATTGGAAGCAGGGGCGGACTGACCATTTGGAAATTCGGGCACTGCCCGAGGGCCCGGGGTCAGTAGGGGGCCCCATGAGATGCCCCTGGTACCTTTTTCATAGACTTTTTTGAGTTTGAGCAAGGACACAGGGGCCCCATGATCCCCTATTGCCCGGGGGCCCCATGAGTTGTGAGTCCGCCCCTGATTGGAGGTTATATACTAAAACTGGAGAGTGCAAAATCTGGCGCAGCTCTGCATAGAAACCAATCAGCTTTCAGATTTTATTGCCAAAGCTTAATTGAACAAGCAGACGTTAGAAGCTGATGGTCTGCCATGCACAGCTGAACCAGATTCTGAGTGTTCCAGTTTTAGTAAATCTACCCCATGATCTGATGAATTTGGAATGGAAGCACTCAAGTGTTTTGCACAGAACTCTGACTTCAACCCTACTGAACACGTGTGAGATGAACTGGAACTCTGGTTGTGAGTCGGCTCTTCTGAACCCAGATTAGTACAATGTTGTTTAGTGCAAATGTTTTTTTTTTCTGAGTGCACCAGTTTTAGTAAATCCACCCTATTGTGGTTGGGAATTAAAGAGAAGAAGCCAGGAATGGACATTGCAATAATATTGCTAATTAGCCTCCCAGGGTTAGATAGGTATGCTTTTATTCCATTGCATTCTCTCCTTTCCAAAGTTGACATTTCAATTCAGTGTTAAGCTTTAAGGCTTCCCATAAAGACTGATTTGTCTTCTGCCTAGGCTCACCACTGGCAACTGCAATTGGGGTGCTGAAAAAGGCAAAATCTACTTATCAAAGCCGTTTGCGTTCTTGTCCTGTAATCCTGAGAGCCCCATTGTTATATGACAGTTGTTTGATTGTTATTAACACTTGCTCAGGCATGCTTTCTCAGATCATTAGATTTCCTCAATCTTCACTAAGTGATAGTAGGGGGTGTCGAAATCTCGCCTGCCGGGTATTATATTCTGACAGCCATTGACACCCATGGCTGTCAGAATACCTGAACAGTGCCTGTATCTGAAAGGAATGAATCCGATAATGTTCTACTAACAATTTGTTTCCTGGCTTCCTTGAATTTTCAATCAATGTTAGGGTTCATGTACACTGCAGCTGATAAACTGACGTTCAGGAGCTGTTCTGTGTTTTTTTTCAGCAGCCCCTGAACTCTCCCTAATGTTTTCCTATGTGTCCATGTACACATTGTCATTAACAGGCGGTTGAGTTTACAGTCGTTTTTTTTGAACGCACCAAACTTGTGTTCAGGAGTAGATTTTATCACGTTTCAAACGCCAAACGCTTATAAACTCTTGTAAATGCGGCTAACCTTGTTTAGAAGCGTTTGCGTTTAAAAGCATTTTTAACTGTTCCATAATCCAAATGCTGTCCAGAGCCTTTTTTTCATCATCGGAAATGCATGCAAAGTGTTTTCCATGTATTCAAATGGACCTATTACACCAGCGCAGTCAATTCCAGGTTTTGCGTGAAGAAAAAATGGTAGAATGTGCCGCATTATGCTCATGATGGGATCCATAGTGAATACAACCAGAAAAGACAGGTCATCTCAACACATACTGCTGTCTCTACTTCTCTCAATATGTCTGAAATAGTTAATTTTTTACTGTTTTTCAGTGCATTCCAGGCATTTTGGAAGGTCTCCTGAGGTTATCTTAAAAAAAAAAAGCTTCTAAGCGCAAACGCTCATAAACGCGCATAAACGCAGTATGCAAACGTGGCTAAACAGACGTTTTTTAACCTACGTTTTCCAGCAGTCAGTTTGCTTCATTCAGATGTGTTTTCCAAACGTCCCGTGTACATGGTGCCTAAGTCGAGCCAGGTGATAACAGGGCCACCCACAGCTCGAAATTTGGCAAATTTATCAGGAATCTGATAAAATTTGAGCTGTGGATGGCTAGCATTTGGAAAGAATACAGTAAACAATAAAAAGTCCAAGTAACCCCTAAGAGATAAGGCAGAACTGTACAGACCTTTTCACATGGGTGGATTCCGTCAAGCAGATTCGCCTGCTCAATGAGGGATTTATCCACTGATCCTCGCTGAGCAGGCGAATGACAGCCCGCTGCTCTCTATGGGGCGGTCGGATGTAAATGGACCATCTGTCCATTTACATCTGACTGTCATCCGATACACCAGACAGATGGGGAACAGATCCCCATCCAGGGGCGGCTAACCATTTGGAAACTCGGGCATTGCCCGAGGGCCCGGGGTCAGTAGGGGGCCCCATGAGATGCCCCTGGTACCTTTTTCATAGGCTTTTTTGAGTTTGGGCAAGGACACAGGGGCCCCATGATCCCCTATTGCCCGGGGGCCCCATGAGTTGTCAGTCCGCCCCTGTCCCCATCCATCTGTTTTTAGCGGATAGGATTGGATGCAGGCGGGTGTAAAAGGACACATTACAGATTACATTTGCTGCTCCATAGAGGGCAATGCATGATCCGATTGGGTTCGCCTGAAAAACGGACAGGCGGGCCTGATCAGTCCCCCCATGTGAAAGGGCCCTTATAACAATTCAGTGGCAATCAAGATTTGTCCTTTGGTGATATAGGCACTGTTCCCCTTTCCACTGTGCCTTTACCAAAACTACTTCCAAAAATATTTATGTTCATACTTCATAGTAACTCATGGCGCCTTAGTAATGTAACGTATGTATAGTCAACGGGAGGAAATTTACCTTTGTGATAGAGTGAGGGAAATTCTGCACTTAGCCAGTTGTCTGTAAAATGTTGGATTTCTCCTCACTTTCTTTTCCGGTGACAATGGTCACCATTATAAATTGGGGAGTGTGGAGAAATAGACAGAGATAACAAATTGACAGAGTGTCTAACCCTTTTCCACTCTACCCCAAAACCAGAAACTTTGCCTAGAGATACACTTTAAGCTTTCTGAGGACTGAATGTTTAACCAAGCCTTTGATGCATCATAGATTGGACCATGCACTGAACTGGCTTCGATAATAATGGCTCTGTTTGCTTTATCTTGCAGGCTGTCTCTGTGCAGTAATGGTATCCGTCCCCCCAAAGGTTGAAATTGAAATTGGACAAGAGGCAGTCTTAAAGTGTACACCGAAGTTCAGCGGCTCGCCGAAGTACAGCGTAGAGTGGTCTTTTGTAAGTATGCATCTCCATGTTAATGTGTCGAACAACCAATAGGAGACTCTGTTTAAAATGTACTCTACTATATAGCATGGGCAAATTCCTACGGTTTAAAGAGAAATCTACAGTCCTATGTCATTCTCACAAGAGCCAGTGCTAGCAAGACCTAATTAATCTACCAAAATGAAAAAAAAATGAGCGCTGATCCTAGAAAGCAGCTAGGCACTCTAAGTAACCAATAAATACTTATACAGAAATGATATAAATAAAAGTGCAGTGCTAAGTAATAAATCTGAAAATTGTCCACTATAAGTCCAGTTCATATAAACGTGCCAGGTGACAAATAGAAATCAACGATGGTGATCCGTGAGGAAGTAGCAGAAATGCGCACTCACCAGAAGGCGGATATACATAAGCAGTATTTATCAATAGCTCATGGATCCTCGGTGAAGAAGAAACAGGTCTGGTCACCGTGGATTGGCCTTTCCTTTCCTTAAAGGTGCAGAGCAAAATTCTTCCTCCTCTTAGGTGGATGCTTGGATTCTTGTGCTGAGAGGGTCACTTCAAGATGAGGGGTTGTTTGGAATGGTGCTGTGGAGCACCGTTGTAGTTCTTTGAAAACTACAAGCCAACAGATGCAAAGGCTGGGGGCCGAACCTGTTTCTTCTTGACCAAGGATCCATGGGCTTTTGATATATACTGCTTATGTATATCGCCTTCTGGTGAGTGAGCATTTCTGCTACTTCCTCACAGATCACCATCGTTGATTTCTATTTGTCACCTGGCACGTTTATATGAACTGGACTTATATTGGACAATTTTCAGATTTATTACTTAGTGCTGCACTTTTATTTATATCTAATTAATCTACCAGTATGATTTTGGAGTGATGTAGGAACTCAGGTTGTATGGAAAATGCAGATAGTATCTTTGGTGAGAATGTAATCCAGGGCCCAAGCTTTACAAGGCAAAAGTACTAAACACTAAAACATCAAACCTGTGCCAACAGCAGGGATGACCATGTACCAAAGGCATCTTCTAATGGTGGAAGGGCTATCTTTGTAGCTCACATTTCCCCTATGGCAGAAAAGACCAGTCATTCACCTGAGTAGTTCCCCAGGCAGATTTTCCTTTCTTTGCATTGGCTTTTATACTGTTTCTTTTCATCTTTCCATACTGTTGCCTGGAGATAAGATCGGATCTTTGAATGTCAGGGCTGAGGAACAAGCAAACAGGTTGAAGAGGTGGAAACACTTTGCTGAAGCCTGTTTACATTGCCCAGAGTCTCAATAAGAGAGCAATGAGTAGAGAATCCACCCACTCATTGCTTTTCAGACTCATGGATCTGTAGGAAAATTAATCACCAGTCTGTGGTGGAGTAGTGTCATGATCAATATTCTGTCCCAGTTGATAGATTATTCTTTCCTTGAAACTCATGAAATATAGTTAGTAATTGGAAACATGTAATGATTCTAGGCTCAACTAAAGTAATATAGTTGTTGATCCATTGTTATCTACGTATTGTGAAAAAATTACAAAAAGTGGCAAAACGTTCTTCTAAATTTGTTGGAGGCCAAGTTTGCACTTAATGTATACAGTATAAATTGGAGTTATTTGTGTTTTATTCCATTTATTAATTTTACTTCAAGCTTTTTGAGAATGATAGTTGATGGCATGGTATTCCAGGGAGAACAAAACAAGAAAAAAGCACCACTGGAAAGCTAGAAGTGTTCTGAAAAAAAAACCCCACTATACACTGGGTAGGGTGTCCCATTAGGAGGTCAAGTAGTATAGATCCCACGATAGGAATTCTGTACACAAAAGATGGATACATCTTTACTCATAAGTTGGTGTAAAATTAAACTCACCCAAGCTGAATTGCTGTGTTGTTAATGAAAGCTGGAGGCCGGTTCACAGGCTAAAACGTTCACTTGTCTCAATTTAGTCTTTACCTCCTTCATGCCGGCGCCTCCCGACCCTTTAAGGGTTTCCGACGTCGGGAGGCGAGGCGGGGTTTAGGGTCACGTGACCACCATGATAGGCTGTCACGGCAGTCACATGATCGGAAAGGTCTTGATTGCAAGGAGAGATTGGGACCTTTCCGTGAGACACCGACACATGTACTGGGAGCGCGCAGGGCGCGAGCTCTCAGCACATCTTTGTTTACAAATGGTACTCAAATATGCGGCCGCTCGGCCTCAAGGCCCAGCCGCCGATAGGCCGCATATTTGCATACTGGGTTAAAGACGTTAGCTGGCAATTTGGATGCTTCTTAATATGATATCTTTATTGGTTACAAAATATCGGTACAGGATCTACAGGTGCTAACACGTAACACTTTTGCCAAAATGCGTCAGCTTCTATAGATCCTGAACCAATATTTTGTAACCAATAAAGATATCATATTGATATACATCTGAGTTGCCAGTTAACATCCTTAAAGACTCATAAGTTGACAGTTAATGGTGGAGATTGCTCGTTGGGGTGCAAAAAATTTTATGTTTTCTGTTGAGGTTAGATTAGAGGAGGCAATGGGGTTGATTTACTAACGGAAAAACGACTGTTCACTTTGTAAGGGAAGTTTCACTTTGCAAGCTTACAGTGATTTTAATAGTTCAGTTTTTTTTTTAAATAACAAACATGTCATACTTACCTGCTCTGTGCAATGGTTTTGCACAGATCAGACCCAATCCTGCTCTTCTCAGGTCCCCTGGCCTTTCCCCATTGCCGAGTTCCTCCATAGCACTTGCTCTGGGGGCACTCGTTTGTGCTCGCTTCAAAGCCTGCTCTGTGTGTCCATAAACATAAAGAGCACAGCTTGGCCCTGCCCCCACTTCCTCCTCATTGGCTGTGATTGACAACAGCAGGAGCCAATGGCTCCTGCTGCTGTGTCTGAGCTAGTGAGGAGGGAGAGAGTTCAGGATTAGGCAAGTGTTTTAGGGGTCTGGGGTGGAGCTGCTTGCAAAAGGTCTTTTACCTTCATGCATAGCATGCATGAATGTGAAAAACCTTCTGCTCATAGAACCACTTAATTGAGGTATAATAAATGAGGTTAAATAAATGAGGTCAAGCTCTGCTGACATCAATCATGAAATCATGTGCAAGTGGAAAGTGATTTTTTTTTTTTTTTGCTAGTGATTAGGTTCTATTTTCAAATTGCAGTTTCGCCACATTTACTAAGCCGTGATGGAAATTTCATTGAAAAGTGAACACCCTGGTTTCCTTTAGTAAATCAACCTCAATGAGAGGAACTGTAATATTAAATTGTTACTTTTTTCCTTTTAATTTCTTTAGTACAGTATGTTTGTATTTAATGAAATATGAGTTTAATAAAGGATTTCCTCCCCGGTTCTCACTGGGTGGGAGGCTTGCGGGTTGATCCATTCATTACAGCATTGTAACTGTGTTAAATTTAAGTATGAAAGTATGCATGCCAATATTTATTGGCTGTGCTCAAGTTATACAAAATAAAAATTAAACAAAATAATATGCTCAAAAAAACCCAAAAGAATGATAGTTGGAACAAAACAAGGATAGTTAAAATTGGAGCTGCACTAATTATACTTAGCATTATTACAGTATTTAAGAATCATGAACTCTACACCTAGTGCTTTTATTTTTGCTTTAATTAAAGTACTCTTTGTCTTGAATCAGGATTTGAATTCACACAATATCATACAGTGCCTTGAAAAAGTATTCATACCCCTTGAAAGTTTCCACATTTTGTCATCATGTTACAACCAAAAACATAAATGTATTTTATTGGGATTTTATATGATAGACCAACACAAAGTGGCAGGTACTTGTGAAGTGGAAGGAAAGTGATAAATGGTTTTTAAACATTTTTTACAATTATATCTGAAAAGTGTGGCTTGCATTTGTATTCAGCACCCTTTACTCTGATCCCCCTAATTAAAATTTAGTGGAACCAACTTCCTTCATAAGTCACCTAATTAGTAAATAAAGTCCACCTGTGTGTAATTTAATCTCGGTATAACTACAGCTGTTCTGTGAAGCCCTCAGAGGTTTGTTAGAGACAAAGTAAGCATCATGAAGACCAAGGAATACACCAGACAGGTCAGGGATAAAGTTGTGGAGAAGTTTAAAGCAGGGTTAGGTTATAAAAAAAATATCCCAAGCTTTGAACATCCCACAGAGCACTGTTTAATCCATCATCCAAAAATGGAAAGAGTATGGCAAAACTACAAACCTACCAAGACATGGCCGTCCACCTAAACTGACAGGCCGGACAAGGAGAGCATTAATCAGAGAAGCAGCCAAGAGGCCCATGGTAACTCTGGAGGAGCTGCAGAGATCCACAGCTCAGGTGGGAGAATCTGTCCACAGGACAACTATTGGTCATGCACTCCATAAATCTGGCCTTTATGGAAGAGTGGCAAGAAGAAAGACATAAGAAGTCCTGTTTGCAGTTTGCGATAAGCCATGTGGAAGAAGGTGTTCTGGTCAGATGAGACCAAAATTTAACTTTATGGCCTAAAAGCAAAACACTATGTGTGGTGGGAAACGAACACTGCACATCACCCTGAACACACCGTACCCACTGTAAAACATGGTGGTGGCAGCATCATGTTGTGGGGATGCTTATCTTCAGCAGGGATAGGGGAGCTGGTCAGAGTTGATGGGAAGATAGATGGAGCCAAATACAGGGCAATCTTAGAAAAAAACCTGTTAGAGTCTGCAAAATACTTAAGACTGGGGTGGAGGTTCACCTTCCAGCAGGACAACGACCCAAAACATACAGCCAGAGCTACAATGGAATGGTTTAGATCAAAGGATATTCATGTTTTAGAATGGCCCAGTCAAAGTCCAGACCTAAATCCAATTGAGAATCTGTGGCGAGACTAGAAAATTGCTGTTCCCAGACACTCTCCATCCAATCTGACAGAGCTTGAGCTATTTTGCAAAGCAGAATGGGCAAAAATGTTCCTCTCTAGATGTGCAAAGCTGGTAGAGACATCCGCAAAAAGACTTGCAGCTGTAATTGCAGCGAAAGGGGGTCCTACAAAGTATTGACTCCAGAGGGGGGCTGAATACAAATGCACTACACACTTTTCAAATATTTAACCATTTATCATTTTCCTTCCACTTCACAATTATGTGCCACTTTGTGTTGGTCTATCACATAAAATCCCAATAAAATAAATTTACGTTTTGGTTGTCACATGACAAAATGTAGAAAATTTCAAGGGGCATGAATCATTTTTTCCAAGGCACTGTATGTGTTAACATTCTTTGTGTCAGTGTGCCTTGTTGTGATGTATTGGACGCGTTGTACTGCATTGCATTTTTTAATTGTATTGATTTCGGTGACAGTGCAGGTTAATACACCCATAATGTAGATTGCTGGATTTTCCAAAACACTGCAGTGCAATGCATTGGTCTGAACAGGTCCTATTAAAAACAATGGACTGCCTCTTATTTGTACTTTTTTTTTTTTGCTCATGAATACATTGAAAAAAATGACAAGTGCTGAAAGGTCTCCCTGAGATGGTTTGGCTGTCCAGCCTTAGTGCACTGATGGCACAGATCATTGAATATCCCCACCCCCTTCTTTGTGTAAGGGAAAGGAGATAAACCATTTTCAAGGAAAAGAAACAAATCAAAAGTTGTGATCTTATTGTTGGCTAAGAACAACACAGAATCTTTTCTTCATTAGGTTTTATAAGTTATTCCTAGTAGGTATTGGGGGGAATTGTGGTTGTACTTTTTCTAAGGTGACAACCAAATTGATTTTCTCATCAGGAATGCAGTAATCTGCATTAACTGTCAACAGCTTTTGCTCTGACAAGTAGAAGTAAACTGGGGGAGGAAGACTCTCTCTCCCATCACACAAGAGATGAAGGTTTGACAATGGTGCATTCTGAGCCTTGGTGGCATAATTGCTTTAGCAATTGTCTTGTCAGTTCAAAAGAGATTTTCTGGTGCACGTTGTGTATGGAAACTGCTCAAAGTCACTGGGGTGACAAACATATTTAAAGGGTTGTTCACACAAAACTGATATTTCAACGTTTGGTAGATACTGGAGGATAAAACCACCTCACAGTTTTTTATAATTCTTGGTGAGATATCTACGCTTGAATTCCCGAGTATGGCCAAACCACAGCCCAATCAGCTGCGCGCGGGGGCATTGCTAGTTCTTCAGTTGTGTGTACATAAATGAGCAGGATGTTGGTGTCATTGACCTAATATGGCTATGTGGCATCTAATGGCCATCTAATTTGGCCACAGGATTGGGGATACCATTGGTCACAACTGACTGGGACAGCACAGACAACTTTCTTTCAGGCTCAGCAGAGCATGGGTTTGGATTGAACCCAAGCTCATCCCTCATTCTGTCTGTAAACCAGTTGTGGCCATTACTATCCCTCTCTCCCCGTTAGAATTTTTTTTACATTATGAAGAAAACAAGAGTAGTAGATTGAATACACAAACATGGGCAGGAAATCCTAAAAGTTGGACAGAAAGAGAATCAGAAGTTGGCAGAACATTGGCTCAGACTCTTGTTTTCCTAAGATACTGACTGGCTTCAGGTTAAGATACCACTGTAAACCAAATTTTAGAGCAGTTAGTAAGTCATTCCGAGTCTGCAGATCAGTTGTGACCATTATTATCCCACTCTCCCTGTTAGAATTTTTTGGTTTATTTTACATTATGAAGAAAGCAACAGTAGTAGATGGAATACACAAACATGGGCAGGAACACCCAACACTGCGTTGGACAGAAACTGAATCAGTAGTTGGCAGAACATTGACTCAGATTCTTGTTTTCCTAAGATACTGACTGGCTTCAGGTTAAGATACCACTGTAGACCAAATTTTAGGGAACCAGCAGACTTTTGGCAAAAGCACCATATATACTGTATGTGGCGTATCATGTAAGTAATTGCTGGAGCTATTGGAGGTAAAGAAGTGCTTGGACAGAAGAAAAATGGGAAAGAAGCCCCAGAAGAGATTTTGTAAATGTGGTATAGATGTGACAAGTAAAGACTGTAGGCTGGTTCATTAGAACAATATTGAAGTATGTGGATACTCATGTCTGGAAGGTTGGTAGAAGCCCAGACAGGGGTCAAGTGATTGCACTTAATGCTTGTAGGGGCTTTTCTTGAGGATCTCACTCTACAGGTAGTGGAATCCTGGCACACGCCATGATTAGGAAGCTTGGCCCAAAAAAAAATTGGGTGCAGGGGTGTTTAGAGGAATATATAAGGGAGGAGATGCTTCAAAGTCTCTTGTAGGAAAATATGAACTTTATTAACTTATGATAATTAAAGATCATAATTTCTTACAAGAGAACTTCAAGTATCTCCTCTTTTAAGGGTTCCCCTGAACACCCTCTTGGTGTAATTAATGTTGCCAAGCTCCATAACCACAGCTATCAGAGTGCACACCCACATATTTGTATATGAATCTTTACCATTACACTATGAAACACTATGTGTAAATCTGGCCATAGATGGTTCAAATCTCAGCAGGTTCAGCAGGGACCACCCAACATTCAATCCATATATGGGAAGGCTTCTTTCAAGGGTTGGCTCAATCCCCCCCATGCTAGCAATAGCTTCACGGAATCGATTTCAGCACAGTCAGTGTTGATGGGAGACTCAAGTGATTTTGCAGGAAAGAAAATAACATCAACTACGGCCTGCCTAAGCCTAACAAAGTTTAACTTTAAGGAATCACTTTAGGGAACTGTAAATACTACAAATACTCCCCAGTATGGATCCTTGAAAACTACACTTTGAAGCCTCGTTCACACCATGTGCAGAGATGTGAGTTTTTCTGAATGCGATCCCAAAGGCACAAAGAAAACAATTGTTCTGTATGTGCCCTGTTCACACCACAGCGCTAGTATCACGTGCAGAGTTTTTCTACATTGGAATCTGCAACATCTATAAAACTCATTGAAACATGCATGAAAACTGATGTAAATTCATGTCTCTGCAAGTGAGATCTGAATGTTTTCTCTATTAGTTTATATGCATGTATGGTGTGAACGAGCCCTTATTATTTCTTTTATTATTTATTTCAGGTACTTATATAGCACCATCAATTTATGCAGTGCTTTACATATATATTGCACATTTACATCAGTCCCTAACCCTCAAGGGGCATACAATCTAAGGTCCCTAACTCACATTCATATACAAGAGCCAATTTAGACAGGATCCAAATAACCTACCAGCATGTCTTTGGAGTGTGGGAGGAAACTGGAGTACCCAGAGGAAACCCACACAGGCACAGGGAGAACATGCAAACTCCAGGCAGGCACTGCTGTGGTCAGGATTTGAACCAACAACCCTAGTACTGCCAGGTGGAAGTGCTAACCATTTAGCCATTGTGCTGCCCTTAATGTCACTTATCTTTAGATCAGTCTATGTTTGATTGTTTTTTTTTTACCTATATTTTTTCTGGACACACACAGATAAATCAGGAAGTGACTCGAGTCCGTATCGCTACCTATAATGATGGACGCACATCAGTTGAGCAGGGAACAGACTTCACCAATCGAGTGGCAGTTAAAAGTGACAACAGCCTGGTGATCAAAGATGTCCGTGTCAAAGACGAAAGCACATTCTACTGCAGGGTGACCTCTGTTGGCGAGGGGAATGGTGAGGGCAGCACTGAGCTGAAAGTCTATGGTAAGTGTGGACATATTGTACTGACTGTACATTTTTTTTTTTTTTAGTATTTTTTTTGACTGCTGATGTCTAGCGTGGTTGTCTGGTAATTCAGTCACTCACTACCCAAGTGGTTGCCTGGTGCTGTTTAAATACTTTGAATGACCAGGAGTAGACATGTTCATGCCCAGGGGCGGACTGACCATTTGGAAACTCGGGCACTGCCCGAGGGCCTGGGGTCAGTAGGGAGCCCCATGAGATGCCCCTGGTACCTTTTTCATAGGCTTTTTTGAGTTTGGGCAAAGACACAGGGGCCCCATGATCCCCTATTGCCCGGGGGGCCCCATGAGTTTTCAGTCCGCCCCTGTTCATACCAGAAATGTTTGTTTCATTTTGGATGCACTTGTTCAATGAAGAATTTTGTTTTGTTACATTCATTATGTTGAACCGATTCGATTTTGGAATTTGTTTCGTATCTTCAGCATTCGTTTTGTATATTTGTTACTTCGGGTGGAATCGAAAGATTTTGCAGTTTTTCCAGAAGATTGCTATATAATAAATATATTATTGAATGGATTCGAATCAGAAGGATTCAAATATTTTCAGACATTAATTCAAGCCACCAAGAGGAATGGCTTGAGCTGATTGGACAATATTGACTGCCATCATGTGTATCTGAATTAGTGAATAGAACAATTTGAACATTAAATTTGAAAATGTATACTTAACTAGATCTATATATATGACTAGATTAATAGAAGGGGAAAGAGAGGATAAGATGAGATTGGACAGGGGTATGTTGGGGTGGGTATGGGGATAAAGTTTATATGTATGATGTAAAAATATTTATGATGGTTTTGTAAGGTATTTTATTCTTAAAAGAAAAGTTAATAAAAGATATAATGGAAAAAAAAAAAATTAAAAATGTAATTAACTTCCCCATGGGCCCGAACTGCTATCGTATCATGTTTTTTTTATATATACTGTCACCCTAGCAGGACAGTGTCACCATGGTGACACTGTACTACTTGTGGGGGGTGATGAAAATTTTTTTTTTTTTTTTACACTGATTGCTTTTATACCCATATAGAATGTAAAAAGCAATCATTTCTCCTTCTCTCTAGCTGCATTCTTGCAGCCATTGATAAATACTGTGAGAGCTGTAATTGCTCACAGCTTGTCACATGGTACAAGGCTGTTGTGAATAGCCTTGTACCATGTGACCTCTGTGATCATTCACAGATTTCACATGTAGTAAGCAATGATTTCACAAGTGACATCTTGCTTACTACTCTGCATGTGATCACTGATTGGCCAATCAGTGATCACATGATCGGGACCTCGTACAAAGGTCCCGTCCGACAATCAGTGTTTCACTGTGTCCGGAGGACACAGCGGGCACCGGATCGCGGTGCTGCGCGCTCCCAGGGAGCACGCACAAGCAGGGTGCGGGAGGCCGTTTACAAACGGCCACCTGACCCTGCACTGCCACCGTCCAGACGTTTTTATATACAACGGCCGGACGGGAGGTGGTTAAATATATGTTTATTAAATATAAAAAAGTAATTCTACTTACAACAGTAAATAAATAAAGAGACATCATAGATCTGATGCGTTTCGAGGTCAAGCCTCTTTCTCAGAGCCTGAGGTCAGGCTCTGAGGAATAGGCTTGCCCTCGAAACGCGTCAGCCTTTTGGACGTCCATCATTCTCATTTTAAGACAGAAACGCAGTGCGAATTGGACAGAGCGGTCCCTTCATGATGTGTCTTATATTTATTTACTATTGTAAGTAGAATTACTTTTTTATATTTAATAAACATACTTTTAAAGGAAGTGCACTAGGCAGGTGTACCCTCTGTTTGTTTTTCTCTATTAGTACTTTTGGACTCCCTGCTTCTTTGAGGGTGGCAAGGCGTGCATATTCCAACATTTTCATTGTGTGGTCCCTATGACATAGAGTCCATCGCCAAGCGCAGGAGTATCTGGGTTTTTCCACTTCCAAGATGCAGAAATACGCCTACAATTTACATTATATGTCAAAAAGCATCCCTGTGCATAAGCCCTTTGTGACATAAACCATTTTTACTAATATAATTATTTATATTCTCTTCCTAGTGTCCCCTGCAGCACCAGAGCTTACAGTAAATTCACAACTATTATCAATCACGGAGGACGAAGAATCAGAGGTATTTGTTAACATTGTTGTAGTGCACCCCCGTAGAAGCCACTGGAGAATTCAGAGAATAGAGCATACACAGCCAGGCACATATCATTTTCTGCACTCTTTCACTGGCTCCAAAGAATAGTCTAAAGGTTTCTTTTTGGGTTGTTATTGGAAACGATGAACTTGGATAGAGATAGGGAGCATGGGATACCCCGATAAACTGTACAACTGAACAACTTGAGGACTCCTAACTTCTGGCTGTACTGTACAAAATAAGAAATGTCCCATAGGATCTCTATGCTGATGGTGACCTGTACCCCCTCCAGAGTTAAAAGCTACACACAGTCACTATTCTTCAGCACTGGAGTCTCTTACATAGCCACAGGATCATTGGTTGTCTCCTGCCGATATCCATCAGCCTCTTCCTAGTGAGGTAGTGAGGGAGATGCAGACTCACACCACCATAGGACAACTGGACTCTTTTCCATCAACTTCCTCCTGGCTCTCTCCAGTGAGCTTCTCCAGACCCAACTTGATCCTTGGACTTGAGCTAGCAAATAGGTTCCCCCTCCCCAGCTAAGCCTAGCTGGAATCTTGGTATCTTTATAAAGGCTTCATCCCACACTTCTGCCCCAGGGGCACAGGCCCTGCACAGGGGTCTACTCTTGAAGGACTGAACCCAGGAACACTGCACTCTGCTACCCAGGCCTCAGGCTATTTATGAGCTCTCCCACCACCTACTGGGCACACATCCCCAGGGATTAGCTTGAGTTCCATAAATATTCAGGCTGCATGCCTTGTTCTTCCTCACACTAAGATTCTAGAATCCTCTAGAAGACGGGTAAGTAACAGAGCAGCAGCCTATGAGGCACTGAGCAGACTCAAAGAATCAACCCCTACTCTGATTACAGTGGAGCCAACTAAATTTACCTAGCAACCTACTCTATACTAGGAGAGTGTGATATTGTCATTATTGCATGGCAAGACCACTTCCTGTTATCTCACATATATATTCTTATTATTATAGCCAAATTTACCACCCTAACTCCTCCCACAGTTTTTTTACACTACATAGACAGTAATATACCGAAACGTGCGGATTGTTCCCAATTGGTGTGCTATTACTTTGTGGAACGTTTTGCCGAATAGTTCACGAAATATCGCCGTTTTTGTGGTGAAATTGGTCCCATAGGAATGAATGGCGGAATGTTCAAAACTAGAGTGGGAGCTGAAAAATCAGGACATGATTTCTAAACTGCCATCACTCCCTCATTTTCACGTGTACCTACACAAATCTTATATCAAAACAGTCAGCTATCTCTGCTGCCACTAAAAATGTCCATAGCTAAGTCATAATCCTGGTAGTTTTCACAATATGACCATTTGTTTGCAACTCACGCCGCCCATTGACATTCATTGAAACTCCACTCTAGCCACCTCAAATTTGAAGGGAAATTTCTAAACTGAGACTGTGCCTTCATTTTTAATATTTCAGAGACATACTATGCATCAAAATGTAGGTCTGGGTCTTGTGATCACAATATAAAGCTCTTCGGTGTAGGATTTATACTTTTTAAACTACAACCGTTTGAAGATGGCAACCGCCAGTGAAGTGAGCAAGTTGGCCACTCCAACCACACAACAGTTACTCTGCCCACTCCACTCAGTTACTCCGCCCCCACTCCAGTTGTGGACTACTGGTAGAGGCAAGAACACTTCACACAATTTCCCCAGAAATTGTAGCTTTTCTAGTTATTTATTGCTCTTTCTTCTCAGTTTTAGATCTTTTTTTTGCTTCCTATGTGTCACACATGTATAGACATTATGGGGTTTATTTACTAAAGCTGGAGAGTCCAAAATCAGACTCCCTTCTGCATAGAAACCAATCAGATTCCAGGTTTCATTGCCAAAGCTTCATTGAACAAGCTGAGGTTAGAAGCTGATTGGTTTCTATGCAGAAGGGAGTCTGATTTTGGACTCTCCAGCTTTAGTAAATAAACCCCTATATTTCAGAGCTGTGATGACTTTTGATGCATTCAGTTGTGCATTGAAACACATTTTGTGCTAGGAGACCTCTGCCAGAGCTTTAGCTTGTAAATGAGCATTGTGTACTGTTAGCTTTGTACAAAACATTTGCAAAGCTTTAAGGAACTGCTTTCTTGAAGCTTTTAAAGCACCCATTAGTTTTATTTTGGGGATGATAAACACAAATCATAATGGGAGTGCACATCCCCCAACCGGGATTGAAGGCTGCTTTAGGGCTCATTCACACTAGCATTTGGGGAGTGGTAGAACACTCCATGATTTAGCTGTCCCTTTAGCTCCAGAAGCAGCAGCCGGGGGTGTACACATGCCAAGGCTGGGATACTTTGATTCACGGCTGCAGCGAGAATTATACCACATGTCATTTTTGGCAGGTGCAGTGCCTGCCAAACACAACCCATTCTAGTGAGTAAGTCCATTCTGCAGCTGCGTTCATTAAGGCATGCTAGTGCGGGGATCACGGGGTTAAAGCAGGCCTGTCATGCTCTATGAAATGTGCAATTCAGATCGCTCTTCGGAGATCAAAGCACTTGTGAAGGAGCCCTTAAAATGATTTTTTTTGTCTTTGCAAAAGCTTCCTGCATGTAATGTTCTTAAACAAGCTGACGCTTATACACTCCCCGGCCACTTTATTAGGTACGCCTTGCTATTGCCAAGAAAATCTCCCCCACACATGACACCACCACCACCACCAGCCTGAACCATTGATACAAGGCAGGATGGATCCACCACACCATGACACCATCACCACCAGCCTGAACCATTGATACAAGGCAGGATGGATCCACCACACCATTAGACCACCACCACCAGCCTGAACCATTGATAGAAGGCAGGATGGATCCATGCTTTCATATTGTTTACACCAAATTCTAACCCTACCATCTGAATGCTGTAGCAACCAGTCTGCCCACTCTCCTCTGACATCAACAAGGCATTGTCATCCACACAACTATCACTGGATATTTTCTCTTCTTCAGAACATTCTCTGTAAACCCTAGAGATGGTTGTGTGTGAAAATCCCAGTAGATGAGCAGTTTTTGAAATACTTAAACCAGCCCATCTGGCACCAACAATCATGCCACGTTCAAAGTCACTTAAATCCCCTTTCTTCCCCATTCTAATGCTCGGTTTGAACTTCAGCAAGTTGTCTTCACCACGTCTAGATGCCTAAATGCATTGAGTTTCTGCCATGTGATTGGCTGATTAGCAATTTGTGTTACCAAGCAATTGAACAGGTGGTCCTAATAAAGTGGCCGGTGAGTGTATATGCAAAGTCTTAGCAATAACCTGCAAACCTGACTATAAATTCTGTTTTTTCCCAGCTGATGCGTAGTCACCAGCTTAGTATAACTTACCTTTGTGCTCCAATTTTTCTTAAGGTTGGAACCTGCATCAGCCGGAACTCCTATCCAGCTCCAGCCATTGAGTGGTACAGGAACCAGGTTCCTCTGAATCCTGGAACTGAAAAGGGATCAGGTATGAGCCAGGTGGAGACCCGGAAAAGAAAATTTGATTTTTTTAGTATTGATATGTCATCTAGCATGGATTAAAATGCATTTGAAGTGACTATGAATGTTCTCCAGGTCATGGTATAGCAGATAGTCTCATTGAACTGGATGAGTTCTGTAATGTTAAAGATATTTCATAGACTATCCACATCTTCAAATCCCCCATCATTTATCTACAAACAGGTCATACTAAGATCTTAACTAATTGCAGTGGAATGGCAGATGTTGATTGTGGAAAGATAGGTTCTACTTTTCATTCTTTCTATACTACACTAGAAGACTTAAGGATGGAATCCTAATGATTTCTGTGGGCAACGAAAACAGTGTTCATAATAGATCACCAGAATCACTAGATTTAAGTACCGTGAAAAGTGCTCTATGAATAGAGGATGAGCGGGGGTGAATGAAGAGTCTGCTGCCTCCATTCATAGAGTGCATTTTTCATTGATGAAGGCTATAAAACAGCTTCTAGGAATGAAGGGGGGGGGGGCATATTTGGCACTCTTGTTGAATGTCTGTGACAGGTCCAGCAGTTGAATTAACCCCGGCAGCACCAGATGATTAACACTGTGGGGGTATGAGTGGGGCAGAGGACTGGAGATTTCAACTAAGACAGCAACCATTTACCCAAGGGACACTTCTCATGGAATATAAACATCACCCCTTGTGCTGATTTTTAAGAAACAAAGATTAACTTAAAGCTTTAAAGCTGATTGTAAGAAATGGTTTTCCTTTAAAAGAATACTGTTATCCTAAATTGGTATTCCGTATACAAATTCCTTTTTTATGTCACAAGCCTAATTTATTTTTTTCTCAACATTTACCTTGTGACAGGAGGAGACTCTGTCACTGTGAGAAGATAGGAAAATGTGACACAGGGTTTGAATTTAGGGTGAATGTGACGTTCCAAACTAATTTCTGGGCAGAGGAAGCTGTAGATTTGGCTTACTCTGGATTCTGCAGCTCTGGATTGGAACATTTAATCCTGTGTCCAGGTTTTGCTAGACACCTGCAATCTGGAGTACACAGGTGTGCAGTGTCATTATATTACTCAGCTCGGAGAATGGCTCGGGGCTCCTAGTTGAAGACCATTCCCAGTGTGGAAGACGGAAGGTCTCTTTAAGGGGTCAGAGGTCCCAACTGAAAGCCAAGAGACAGAGGTCTCAGCTCCAGGAGTCAGCTCAGCTCCTTTCAGGGTGTCAGACAAACCCCTCATCCATAGGCCAGAGGTGGGCCTTACAGCAGGGCGCTGTGTCTAAAGTCTAGAGACACCTGCAATCTGGAGTACACAGGTGTACGGTGTCATTATATACTCAGGTCTGAGAATAGCTCGGGGCTCCTAGTTGGAGACCATTCCCAGTGTGGAAGGTCTCTTTAAGGGGTCAGAGGTCCCAGCTGAAAGCCAAGAGAAAGAGGTCTCAGCTTCAGGAGTCAGCTCAGCTCCTTTTAGGGTGTCAGACAAACCCCTCATCCATAGGCCAGAGGTGGGCCTTACAGCAGTAGGGCACTGTGTCTAAAGTCTAGAGAGCCAAGTATCCAGGAGAGGTATTGCAATTGAAGCTGAGTGAGCTTATGAGCCAGGTGGCTTGGCATTTTCCAATGCATGGATTTCTGTTGAAGTTGGAGATCTCCTGCATGGCAATTGATTCATTTGTGAATTTTTAGTTTTTCTTTGAAATAAAAGCGGGCTACCAAGCCCTTAAAAATAGTTCTTGTCTGTCATGGACTCACTAAAATAACGCATCTACCACGAGAGCTAACTACTCCAAGTGCAACCTGTAGAAGAAACTATCTATAGACTGTAAGTGACAATATCATGGCCTAGGACAAAGAATTACCACAAAAGCAAAAAAACATTACTAAATAGAACTATAGACACCTTATTGGATAGAGTAAGGGAGGTTATAACCCCCTATCAATTTATTTTTTGCCATCTGTGTCCCCATTGGGAAGATTTACCTTCACTTCTGGTCACAAAAAGGAAATGAGAGATATTCCCCGCAAATTAAACCGATTCCTTGGGACCCCCAGGTCACCAGAGCTAGTGTCCCCATTGGAAGATTTCCCTTCGATTACTTTCCTGGGGACAATCCAAAATATGGGGTTTTCTTTACTTTCACTTTCAATGATAATGATAAACAGGATAAATAGCGTGGCTGAATCTTCTTCATGGGGGACAGAGAGCAATAAAAACTGACAAGTGTTCTAATCCATCTCCACTCTATGCCAAACGCCATAAAAAAAATAAATTGCCTTTAGTTATACTTTACATTTTCCACTGTAATTATGGAAAAACTGTTTCAGGTGTTCATAACTAGGGATGAGGTTCGGGTTTGCCTCTACCATGGGTTTGCAGTGAATTCCTTGTGTTTGCAAAGTTTGCAAATTGTGAAATTTTTGGCAAAAAACTTCCCAGGTTGGCAGTCAGAAATAAGGAGGACCCATAATGCAGAGCATATGTTTCCTTTCTATAAAAGGATTAGCTCACAGCAGCATTCATATTGTCAGTGTACTATATAGGCAGAAAAACTGTTTTTTTTTCTTTTCTTCTTTGGCAATGGTATGTCTGCCATGATAGTGCCAGACCTCCATGTACTTTGTTTGACAGTAGTTTCCTTATTAGCCCTACAAGTGGCCAGAATTTAGAAAGCCATCCCCCATAGACTTCGGTTGGGTTGGATGGAAAGTTAGCAAACTTCCAACTTTGAACAATGTTCTCGAAACCTTTTGTGAACCAATCCCAGGCAGATTTGCTCATCCCTACTCACAACAATTCATTAAAACAATTTCTTCCACTTGCAGGTTTATATGCTACTGCCCGCACAACGACGAGTCTTCTGCCTTGTACACCGTGTCTAGTACACTCTTTCTGAAACCCCAAAAAGAAGACGCTGATGCTATGTTCTCCTGCAAAGTTGTGTTTCCTTTGCCAGGTGGTGGTACCAGTCAGATGGAGTCAAAGGAGTTTAAACTGAATTTACACTGTGAGTAACTGAACACTTGATATTTCTTCCAATGTAGTCATCATGAAGCTGGTAGTACACCACTTGATCTGCTAGTCAGATAGCCAAGGGATTATGTTTGTTCCAAAAACTCTAAATCTGTAAGATCTAGGTAGTCTAGATCCAGACCTCTACCTTGCACAAAGGACAATAGAACCTGATGTATGGTGCCATTGTATAGTCACATTAGATTTGCCTAGCTGGAATAGTATAGCATGTACTCTTTTGCCCCCAGCCTTGACATGCCTATGATGTGGGATCTAGTTACATTGGTAGTAAGGCTTGCCAACAGACAGTTGGCTTAATAGGGCAGAAAGTATAAATTCCTCCTTGGGTTCAGGCCAGTCTTATGCTCTTCACTCCTTTACTACCTTTAAATAAAATAACATGTTGAACTGCAGCTGTGATGGGAGACATTCTGTCTGAAGATGATCCACAGTTAAGCGCGCAGGGAAATGGCAAGGCCAGCACAAGCGTGCTTCCCCATACCCCCCCCCCCCCATGTACGCGGTCATTTAATCTTACATGTCACATGCATGAGTATAAAGGCTACCACAGGAAAGACCCCTGTGATTTCCTCTGACCCGGCAGCTTTCCTGCTGTAGATCATTTTCCTTTTTCAGATAGCACATCAAAACTATGAACAGCTGTAAAATGTATCCATAGACAGTAAATATTATTATTATTATACAGGATTGATATAGCGCCAACAGTTTGCTCAGCGCTTTACAATATAACGGGAGACAATACAGCAACAATACAGTTCAATGCAAGAGGGAAAGGAGGTCCTGCTTCTTGGAGCTTACAATCTAGGAGGGAGGGGCTAGTGGTACAAAAGGTAGTAACTGTGGGGGATGGACTGGTTGGAAGAGTAGGAGATTCCAGTATTAGCTGAGGGCAGGATAGGCTTCCCCGAAGAGATCGCCTAAAAGTGAGCAAAGTAGGCGATAGTCTGATAAATTGGGGTAGAGAGTTCCAGAGGATGGGGGAAGCTCTGGAGAAGTCCTGGAGACGAGCATGGGAGGAGGAGACAAGGGAGCTAGAGAGTAGGAGGTCTTGCGAGGAGCGGAGAGGACGGTTTGGGTGATATTTAGAGAAAAGATCTGTGATGTAATTCAGGGCAGAGTTATAAATGGCTTTATATGTTATTGTTAGTGTTTTGAATTTTATCCGTTGGGCAACGGGAAGCCAGTGGAGGGATTGGCAGAGAGGGGTGGAGGACACTGAGTGGAGGCCAGTGGAGGGATTGGCAGAGAGGGGTGGAGGACACTGAGTGGAGGCCAGTGGAGGGATTGGCAGAGAGGTGTGGCAGATACAGAATGGTTAGTAAGGTGGATGAGTCTGGCAGCAGCATTCATGATAGACTGAAGAGGGGATAGCCTGCGATGAGGTAGGCCAATGCAGAGGGAGTTACAGTAGTCAAGGCGAGAGATAACAAGGGAGTGAATAAGTTGCTTAGTGGTTTCCGAGGTTAGGAACGGGCGTATCTTGGAGATGTTGCGGAGGTGAAGTCTACAAGATTTGGACAGTGATTGGATTTGGGGCTGAAAGGACAGATGGGAGTCTAGGGTTCATAATAGTAATAACAGTAATAGGTTCAGCAATGAAAGTTATATATTAAAGGGATGGATGTTACAGTAAAGGGAGGCAATCAAACAAGGCTGTAGGGCAAAGAAACGTGGACAGTGCCCAATAAGGCCTCATGCACGCTCTACTTTGTCCCAGTTCTTCTGAACGTCTTTTTTCCTGGCAGGAGAAAAGCAGCATTAAAATCGCGCCTAAAGCTGCATTATACAAACGCTTTTAGGCACGTCAGGTGTTTGGGCGTTCATTGATTTCATTGGCCAAAATATCGATTTACTCTGGCCATTGAAATTAATGAATGCCTAGTGCTTAAGCTTGTTTACACACATTCTTAGATTGTAAGCTCTAACGACCAGGGCCCTCTGTTTCAATTGTATTGTAACCAGGGCTGCTGTCAGAAACCACGCGGCCCCATACAGCCAACGTGACAGTGCCCCCAAATAAACACAGTTTACTATGCTTCAGTTATGATTGAACACAGTGAGTGATTGGTACCAGTCACTCATTGTGATCATTCAGGAAAGAAAGAAAGAAAGGGGGCTGGTAAATGTGATATATTTATGGACCCTTTACCCGCTTTTCATCCTGAGGATCCTATAGTGTGTTTTCAGCTGGGAAGGAGAAGAGAGAAAGGGGTGGGGGGCTTAGACAGCAGAAATGTGTGGTGCACCGGGAGGTGCTGCAGAGAGAACCATACAGGGGATCAGTTCCAGTTATTGCCCCCCCCCCCCCCCCCCCCCCGCTGTGCCTATCACTCTTCCTACCCACATCCGATTCACCTTCTGCCTGGGCCCCCCTGCTGGTCTGGGCCCCGTACAGGAGGACCAGTGGTATCCCCCTTTATCCACGGCCCTGATTGTAACTGTAATGTCTACCTTCATTTTGTAAAGTGCTGCGCAAACTGTTGCCACTATATAAATCCTGTATAATAAAAATAATAATTTAGGGATGTTCCACATTTTTTTTTTCTGCTGAATTGCTCCTCTTCTGAATGCGCAAATTATGTATTTTGTTTTCTGCCTCTAAGCACCTGTAAAAGCCTATGTGTGCAAGGACACACAAGGGTTGATTTACTAACACTGGAGCACTCAGAATCTGGTGTGGCTGTGCATAGTAGCCAATCAGCTTCTAACTTCAGCTTCTTCATATAGTTTTGCTAATAAAACCTGGAAGCTGATTGGTTTCTATGTAGAGCGGCACCAGATTTTGCACTGATGAAGAAGGGTCTCCCTTCAAAACGCGTCAGCCTCAGTTTGAGAGTCTACCCTCATGATGTGACTCACATTGGCTCTACACTCCTTAGTTCCTTTGAGGATCTGTAATGCTTGTTTTACATCCTTGTTTGTGAGTATATATATATATATATATATATTTTATTTAATAAAATCACAGAATTACTGAGTTAATGCGCAAAGTTGCTGCGCTCTTTCTTTTTGCTTCTCTTCACAGTATCAGTTGGGCTTCTCCAGCCTTGTTGTAGAGCTGCACATCCTTCCATGTTCTGGTGGAATTGTTTTGAGGTTCCTCAATTCCTCCACCCCTGGTTTGAGTCCTAGAGTGCAGGAGGTGTTATCTTTGTATCTGTTAACATGGAGGTGTGTTCACAGCCAGAAAAAAAAGAATGTCAAACATTCTTAAAAGTTTTTGACACCCAATGTATGAGGCTTCCAGGGCAGAGCAGAGGGTATTTTTAGGGGTGTAAGTAAGGGTGCAAATGGAAAAACTGTACAAGAAAGGAGAACAGGAAAAAAAAAAAAGATGTGCATTAACCTCCCTGGCGGTATTCCCGAGTGTAGCTCGTGGTAAAGTTTCAGTACCACAAGCGGTAACTCCGAGCTACACTCGGGAATACACTGCAGCGTTGCTCCGGGATCCCTTCTGCACTTACCCTGTCCTGCGCTCCCGCGATGTCCCCCCTGCAGTGTCCCCCAGCAATGTCCTCCGGCGGATGCTGGCATCTGTCTTCCGGGTTCCGTTCCCTGCAACATACGGGGACGGAACTGACAGGAAATTTGAAAGTTGTAAAAGTGACATTCACTAAATACACTAAAATCACATAGTAAAACATTCCTGTATCAAACCATTTCACATACATTTTGTCCCGAGTGCTTTGTCCTGTCCCCTGCCTGCATTTTTACCGTTCTTTCTGCCTGGAAACGAGAAACGCCCATGGACATCCAAAAAGCGTCCCTTTACGTCAAAATCGGTTTTAGACCGGCTAGAGAACAACGATAGTAAATTAGAACCACTTGCAGAATTGAGTGATAATGATTCGTGGGGGAAATTCGTCATCAGACACTGAAAACAATTTTGCGACTTTGCTCAGTGATGTGCGAACTTGGAGCTATAGTTCAAATTTCAGTGTTTTTGGTTTGATTATATTATTGAATTAAATGTATTATTACATTATTATTTTTTATGATTATTTATTAAATTATAATTTATGATTTTGTGTTTCATATTTTATGCACCCGGGATGTTTACTAGACTCTTGTTCGGACAGATTGCAGTGAGTTATTCCTAAAAATTACAGCCTACAATAAAAAAAATACATATTTCCATGCAAAAAATGTACCGCTTTGAGCACAGAAATATGGACATAATCAGACGCTAGGGAGGCTACAAGGGAAAAAATAGGGGCTCATCCAATAAAGGGGAAGCCAGTAGAGACGTGTGTACAATACAAGGTTGGTGGGGGCAGTGAGGTGGGGGTGTACTCTAAACTTTGAACTGGGGCCCCTACATTTTTCCTACACCACTAAATAAACCAATTAGTATTTCCTAAGGAATGGTTTGAGAAGACTGTATGATTAACCAGTAAAATTAAAGAAAACCGAGAGTGATCTTTTGCTTTTATGAGTGAACAATTATCTCTTCCAGGCTAGTGCCATATATGAAACCTCCCGCTGCTGTTGCCTGTTCATTCATAAAACTAAAGGTTGCTAAACCCAGCAACACTGTGTGCTCCATCTGCCAGGGCTGTTTATGTACCTGCAGCAGATAAGCACACAGCCCCGCAGGCTGTGATCTCTTTTAAAAGGCAGTGCTGGTCTCCAGAGCGGCCCCTGCTGGCAGAGACCAGCAATATCACTCGCAAATCTGTCTCCTTTCTAGTAGCGTTGTCAGACAGCGGAAGTTGGGGGCATGCTGTCCGAAATCGTTACTTAGCAATGGCTGGACAGATCCGAACAGGACCAAGTGCTTTATTCTCGCTTGCTGTATTGCCTGTGCTTATGACACAGCTGTTCTCATCAATTCTTATCATAATTTTTTCTCTCATTCAGATTACACTGAAAATGTAACTTTTACGGTGTCACCAGTGGGCCCCGTTAAGGAGGGCGACAAAATAACCCTACACTGCGAGGGTGATGGGAATCCGTCTCCTACCTACCTTTTGCAGAGAGTGAAGGTATTTTGAATAAAGTTGTATATGTCATGTTCTGTCATAGGAAAGATTTATTAAAAAGAAAAGCTAAGAAAAAAAGGTTACAGCCCACAACAACCAATAAAAATGTCTTTTTTTTATTGTCCAACATGCACTGTGAAAATGAAGTGGTCAAGGAATGTTTTTCTTCTCTACAGTTTTATGAACTGAACTTGGCCACTGCAGTATGTCATTCTTTGGCAGTGGAAGAACAACAAATTCCAGCATATTTACCACAGTGGAGGGAGAATATTTTTTGCTTTGTGTGCAGTTAGTTATTGCACAATGTAACGTCCATGGTGAAAAGTGTAGGCATCCACAGCGTATGCAGATAAGTAGAATACTTCCAATATTAGGCTAAAGCTACATAGGAGATTTTCAGAAACTCCATAATGCAAATAGAATAGTAATTAATTAATGGGATTCTAAATTGATTGAAAAAAAAAATGCTAAAAAAAAAATCTGAAGAATATTTTTAAAAATTTTTTTTTTTTTAAAATATATTCTTCAGATTTTTTTTTAACATATAAAAAAGTCATTTTTACATATATTTGTAAATGCATTCCAAAAATGTAGATTTGTATTTTTAAAGACATACGGTATATTTGAAATGTATTTGTACATTTTTTTCATATATTTTGTAATAAAACACATTTCAACATGCAGTGTATGTATATGTATGTATGTATGTATATATATATATATATATATATATATATATATATATATACTGCATGTTGAAATGTGTTTTTATTACAAAATATATGACAAATATTTTTACAAATACATTATTAATTATTAAATAATACATTATTAATTAATACAATATATATATATATTGAAATATATTTTGAAATATATTGAATATGGGCCAAAATTGTAGTATTTCAAATATACATCAATATATTTGGGAAGAATTTTTTTAAAATATATTTCAAATATATGTTTCTTCCATATGTAACATCCGATAGGCTGGTTGTACCCAAGTTGATCAACCTGGGTATTTTCAGCCTGCCCATACATGGTTCGAATCTTGGCCAGTCCCTGATTCGAACCACTATGGCCGGCTGTAGTTATAAATTGGGATGATTGATCGCCATTTTTGTTTAATTGTGTAATTACTCCACAAGGGGCCATGCGTCCTATGCTTAGCGATCGATTTCTAGAACGAAGTGGTGATCAATCTTGCATTAATGCTCCAATTATGTACAGCTGATCATGACAGGATACTACTGGTGTAAGGTCCCTTTCACACGGGTGTTTCATATGTCCGTTTCTCATCTGTCCGTTTACGGATGAAAGACGGACACCCATGTATTTCTATAGACTAGCGGATGTAAACGGATGATCATCTGTTTACATCTGTTAATGTCCGCATCCGTTAACATCTGTTTTTTTGTACTGAAGAAAACCCTATTCTCCTTCCATTAAAAAAAAAAATGGAACGGACGAAAAACAGATGCAAACAGACAAAAAATTAATGTAACTGATGAAAAAACGGATATAAACTGATGTAAACTGATGAAAAACGGATGTAAACTGATTAAAAAAACGGATATAAACTGATGTAAACTGATGAAAAACGGATGTAAACTGATGAAAAACGGATATAAACTGATGTAAACTGATGAAAAACGGATGTAAACTGATGAAAAACAGATATAAACTGATGTAAACTGATGAAAAACTGATGTGAACTGATCCGGTTTTTCGTGGAAAAAACGTGATTGAACTGATGAAAAAAAAACAGAACGCCCACGTGAACGAGGCCTAACAGATTCTTTTAGGAACCATGGGGGTTATTTTCCAAAAGTGGAGAGTGCAAATTCTGGTGCAGTTCTGCATAGAAAAGAATCAGCTTCCAGGATTTATTGTCAAAACTTAATAGAACAAGCTGAAGTAATGCAGGCCATACATGGGTCGAATCCCGAACGATTTTTCGTCTGAAAATTGAAACCACCGTTCGCTCAGTAATCCGATGGTGCCATCAATGATGGTGTAAAGCACACACACAGCCCACAGTAAAACAGCACACAGTTAACCCTTTGATTGCCCCAGATGTTAACCCCTTCTTGCCCAATTCCATTAGTGCAGTGTCAGTTCTTTTTATTATTGGTATCACTATCAGTGATTAGTATCAGTATTGGTGTCACTGGGGATGTCAGTGACACTAAGTCAGTTCCCCCCAGTGTCAGAATGCCCACCACAGTCCCGCTATAAGTCGCTGATCGCCGCCTTTACTAGTAAAAAAAAAAAATCCAGTATCTATACTGCCATTTGTAAATGTTATAACTTTCACGTTAAGCAATTAATTTACACGTATTGGGATTTTTTTTTTTTAGCAAAGACATGAGCAGAATACATTTTGGCCTAAATTTATGTCGAAATTAGATTTTTTTAAATGTTTTTACTGGATATGTTTAAAAAGTCAAAAATATAGTTTTTTTTCCAAAATTTCTGGTCTTTTTTTGTTTAAAGCATAAAAAATAAAAAACACATAGACAATCAAATACCACTGAAAGAAAGCTCTATTTGTGGGGAAAAAAAGGATGTAAATTTAATTTGGGTGCAGCGTCGAAGGACCGCGCAATTGTCAGTTAAAATAACGCAGTGCTGTATCGCAAAAAATGGCCTGGTCAGGAAGGGGGGTAAATCCTCTGGAGGGCAAGTGGTTAATATTAGCCCCCGCATTACTTTAATGACAGATTCTTTATATTTTCCTTGTGCTAGTAATACATGAATTCTCATTGGTTGCTGTGGGTTCTATCTTTAGTTATTGCGGTTTACATTGCCTTATTATAAAGGACTGTTTGCATTGCGCACTTCTTTGTTTAATGCACCATTGTCTCTCTTGTAGGGTAAAGCAGAGGAGGAATTAGAGTCTAGTTCCGATGGAGTTTACATGTTTCGGAATATATCTCGGAGTGACTCTGGGACTTATCGCTGTGAAGCTCTGGATTTTGATAGCCCTCCAGAATTTGAGCTGTTCAGGAATTTAGAATTGTTTGTGCACTGTAAGTAAACGCACCCTAAGGGCCCCTTCACACTGCTTCATTGAAAAAAAAACACAGTAGAGATGCACAGGACCGGGAACAAGGAGTGGGCTGAAGGGGCGGCTGCCCTGGGCCCAATGGTTTGCTGTGGGAATGGGGACACCTTCCTTCTGTTACAAGGATGACAGCAGTAGAGACAGTGGCAGTGATTTTGACAAGCGAGTGACTGCTAGGAATAGGATCCCCTAAACTTACATATTGTGAGCAGGGGAGGGAGGGCGCAGTTTGGCATCTTTACCCTGGGACCTGGATGACCTTGGCCCGGCACTGAAAATACATATGCATTTTTAAGAATTTTTTTTTTTTTTACATTGAAAAAGTACTGAGTAAAACATATGAAGAAAAAAACCTTCATGACACATTTCTGGTTAGGCCAGGGGCGCATTTGCCACAAGGCATACAAGGCGTTTGCCTTGGGCGGCATTTTTCAGAGGGGTGCCGGAAGAAGGGATGGATGCTGGTTGTCCTGTGACAGTTCCTGAGTGGTGATCGCGCTGAGGAGGTACCTGAGGGGCACCGGGCTGGGTGGAAGAGCGGACTTTAGGGCGTTTGCCTTGGGCGGCATATTTCAGAGGGGCGCCAAAAGAAGGGATGTTGGTTGTCCTGCGACAGTTCTTGTGTGGTGATCGTGCCGAGGAGGTACCTGAGGGGCACCGGGGCTGGGTGGAAGAGCGGACTTCAGGGCGTTTGCCTTGGGCGGCATATTTTAGAGGGGCGCCAAATGAAGGGATGTTGGTTGTCCTGTGACAGTTCCTGAGTGGTGATCGCGCCGAGGAGGTACCTGAGGGGCACCGGGGCTGGGTGGAAGAGCGGACTTTAGGGCGTTTGCCTTGGGCGGCATATTTCAGAGGGGCGCCAAAAGAAGGGATGTTGGTTGTCCTGCGACAGTTCTTGTGTGGTGATCGTGCCGAGGAGGTACCTGAGGGGCACCGGGGCTGGGTGGAAGAGCGGACTTCAGGGCGTTTGCCTTGGGCGGCATATTTTAGAGGGGCGCCAAAAGAAGGGATGTTGGTTGTCCTGTGACAGTTCCTGAGTGGTGATCGCGCCGAGGAGGTACCTGAGGGGCACCGGGGCTGGGTGGAAGAGCGGACTTCAGGGCGTTTGCCTTGGGCGGCATTTTTCAGAGGGACGCTGGAAGAAGGAATGCTGTTTGTCCTGCGACAGTTCCTTTGTAGTGATCGTGCCAAGGAGGTACTTGAGGGGCATCGGAGCTGGGTGGAAGAGCGGACTTTAGGAAGGGTATGACAGTGAGTCTCTCTCCCTTTCTCCTCTCCCGTAGCAAAGGGACCTCAGGCGTGGACAGGCAAGCGGGCGAGTGAGTGGGCAGGCGGGCGAGATCGTCGGCTGGGTGGGTGGGAAATGGGGGTGGCAAATTTTTGGCTGCCTATGGCAGCACAAAACATACATACACTACTGGTTTAGGCAGATACATCAGAACAAAGAAATATTAGGCGGATATAATTAACAGAAAATCTGGATGGTGAGTCACAAAAACATACATGACATGCGTGTTTAGCCTGAACAGACCACAAAGTTACATAAAATATGAGCATACAATTACATAACCTTGCAGAGCTAATGATAAAGCATTGGTGGGAAAATGGTACTCTTCCATAAAAACCTCTGGTCACCCATGCTCTTTGGATAGGGTGGGACATTGAGAAGGTATCCTAGATGAGCTAGTTAGGATTTCACATTTGGGCCAGGCTATTCATCAGGTACTTGGTTGTGCCAACCAGCAGTCCCAAATTTTGTTATATTTGAAAGGGCAACCCCTAAGTTGGTATATCAGCTTCTTGCATGGGAGAGTAGAGTCCGCATGTACCAATCAGGATTGAAGTTGGAGGGAGAGCCTCCATCCAGTTACGTGCAATCACTTTCCTCACGCTAAAGAGTGTCTTATGGAAAAATATGGTCAGAATTTCAATGGCATCTGGGTCAGGGAGGAGACCAAGCAGGCATTGTTTAGGGTCCAGATTTTGGTTCATTGTTACAGCATTTTTGGTGTGTTTTCCAGTTGCCTGACTTATATGTAAGGATTTACAACCACTTTAAGCTAGAAGATGTTGACAAAAGTGATGTATGGTATACACCTTCTAGAGTGCATTGAAGAGTTATGGCACTACATTCATCCCACTAAATATTCTATGCATAGACAAACTCTTTGATGGTCAGTATTTTGCACATATTCCATGACAGCATAAGAGAGTAAAACCTGATAGGTTGCTAAAAGAAACACCATTTTAATTTTTTTGTTGAGAAGGAAGAGGGTAAGTGTAATGGAACCAACCCAGACTGCACTTGGGTACTTCCGTTAGAATACTGCTTCCCCATCCAAACACCAACAACAGACACCACAGCCGACCAAATAAGACTAGACGACACCAATCTTGAAGTGATCCAGAAGGTAGACTACTTTATTTGAACACAGATACAAGATATATACACTCAGGGGGACAGTCCCCCCTCCCTGCATAATGACACAGGGCGGGGTAATCTACATTTAGTAACAAGAGACACACAGGTATTCAAACGTCACACCAGCAGGCAGTTGCATCAGGAGGGAGGGCTGCTGGAGACCCCCCCCCCACTAAGCTAATACACATAAGACATACATCCCATAATAGTTTGCTCCCAAGCAAGACAAACAATAGAACAATGGGATGCAACCACACAACACCAAACAATCAACAACCCCCCACCCCAATATTAGGACAGATCACCCTGTACCCCTAACAGGCACAGGGTGACTTACACATAATAGGGATATGGGGAGCTGAGACAGGGGTCTCCCCACCTCTCCAAAGTGAGCTGGGTTCCATGGACCCCCCACCCAAAGTGACTCCCGTCACAGTAAGTGAGGTAGGAAATTGAGGTTTTAGCATGTTTTGGAAGTGTTCTGTTTAAAGTCTACTTGTTTTCTATGTGCCTCTGTTCTTTTTGCCTTTTATTGTGGTCCTGGCAGATTAGGTTGTTGGAGATTTAGGTGCATAAAGTTTGAATTTCAATTAGAATGTTAGTATCCATAACACCAGGCTGCTTTACGATGTCACCTTTTCCACCCACACAGAGCCTCAGCACTTTGAACATAAAGCAGTAGTTTTCCACTAGTTCAAAGACTCATCAGCCTTTCTGGAAGTTGCCATTGCTGTCAGATTACCATTCTAGCCATTTGTTCTAATTAATTTCATCTCTCCTTCACAGATCTAAACCCTGTGACTGTCATCCCAGCAGAAAGAGAGGTTAAGCGTTTACTCAAGGAAGATGTCCAATTGTTCTGCTCCTGTGATGGCTCAGAAAATCCTGATCTCCTTTGGAAGAAGGTGAAGACACTAGATAAACATCATGTCTCTGGGGCACATTTAGATACAGGATCTGTATGATTGTAGCATTTACAAGAACACTTGCTATATTTTTACTAGACGTGTGGCTAGGAGACAGAAGTAGGACTTAGTCATGTGCCCGTGCCAGAACCAGACAAGAGGGAACCAAGTCACTAACACTCCAAGTTAGTGTGTTCAATACATTTAATGTGAAGACAGCATCACATATGGCAAAGAATAATGAAGCTTCTGGACCACGCATGGTCCCCATTTCAAAGCAATATAGTGATCCTAGACCTAAATATCACTATGTTGCCTTAAAGAAGTAACCCTGCATGGCCCCAAAACGTTGGTATTCTATGCCATATAGCATAGAGCAGTAGCACTGTGGGGGTGTGGGCACACAGAGGGTCCTCGGCAGCAGGGGGAAATGTATAGTGCACAGGGAGGGTGCAGTAGGGGGGAGGGGGGCAATTACTGGAACCGATCCTCTATATTTCTCCCTCTGCAGCAGAGGGAAGCAAGCAGGAGAAAGAAGAAAAGAAGCCAGCTGTTTCAGAAAGAGGGTTCCGGTAAATGGTTCCAGTAAATGCACCTCCAAACCCCCCCCCCCCCCTGGTGCCGTTCACCCTCCCTGCCCACATACGATTTACTCAGCTGCCTGGGTCCCCCTGCAGACCTGGGCCCTGAACATGAGGACTGGTGGTACCCCCTTATTCATGGCATATGTGACACCGTTTTCATAATAAATTTGTGATGCACATTTACTTGGAGTTCTGTTGGCTTTGTTGTTTTGGAACTTCAGATACTTCCTCCAGCGCTCATACATGCTTGTTTGATGTCTAACTTTTCATGTTCTGAATTCTTGTTCTCTCTTGTATTGCAGGGTGATGATGTTCTCTCCAAAACTAGCAGATATAGATTGAAAGAATTGTCATATTCTCACTCTGGTGTCTATACTTGTGAAGCTAATGTTCCCTCAGTGCCAGGACTACGCAAAGAGCAGAGTATCACTATCGTAGTGGAAGGTGAGACTCTATGGGGTTGTACGCATTTAACAATCAGTGATGCCATTAAATGGTTTCTCTACCCATCTGCACAATTCTATTGCTTCCAGGTCAAGCTGCTTTGCACTGGCCTTCTAGTCGGTAAACTAGAGACAAAGCAATACTATAGGCACCATATGGTGTTAGAGGTTGCTTCTAAACTCATCTAGAAATCCCAACTTCTGAAGTATGAGGAGCAGGGGCGGACTGACCATTCGAGCACTCGGGCACTGCCCGAGGGCTCGGGGGTCAGTAGGGGGCCCCATGAGATGCCCCTGGTACCTTTCATTGGCTTTTTCATAGGCTTTTTTTGGGTGTGGGTGAGGACATGGGGGCCCAATAATCCCCTATTGCCCGGGGGCCCCATGAGTTGTCAGTCCGCCCCTGATGAGGAGTGAAGTCATGTCATGTCCACCCACCATCTTCACTTTGCTTTGTGTCTGAGCAGCCAATTGCCAGACTTGCATAGTGTCACATATCTAACCCAATAGAATGCTGGGAGAAAAATGTCCCTATCGTCTTTGTGGAAGCAGTGTTTTTCTGCAGAGGTCCCACATACCCCCTGATGAGTCACATTTGGATCTATCCAATCAGCAGGGAGCATAAGCATTGTTGATTGCAGAGCTATAGGTCTGGCTCAGAAGGGACTTAGATCTCTTCAGAGAGACCACTGTTTCCATACAGAGAGCAAGGGTCCTTCACTAAAGCATGCGGACGGGGGACAGCCTTTCTACTCAAGATTTGGCTGCTTTCTAAATAAAAATGAACTTTAGGACATTGCAAAGCTTTTGTTCTGATTCATTTAAAATGTATTTAGCTGATATAAATTTAAATATTAAGCTTATATATGACTAACATGAGGCTTAAAGCGTAACTTCACCCAAAAAGGAAAGTTCCACTTTTCTGCCCCCACACCCATATCACTTTTTGGATACAATTATATTTTGGGGAGCACGGAGTATCTTATTTTGACATTTCCGCTTGGATCACCTAGGCCCTCCCCTCTTTGCCCGCAGCCTTCTGGTATAAGTCACATGTCCCAGAAGGCTGTAGGACCATTCACAAAGTGCAATATGAAGCGGGCTGTGAAGCCGCAAGGAGTTACAGCCTTCTTCCCTTAGTAAACATGCGAGTGCCAAGGACCTGAAGACCTGTGAAGAACTGGCTCAGGTAAGGACGGTGCTGGACAGCTAGGTGTTCTGTTTTTAAAAGTAAGCAGCTATTTGTAGCTGCTGACGTTTATTTTTTCATACAGCCTGAAGATCCTCTTCAAAGATATACCTTAGAAATGTTGTTTTGGTTTATATTAGGCCCACCGGAACTGGACCCGGAAAACCATCAGGTTGAAGTAGAATCAGAAGGACACCCTGTGACGTTATCCTGTAAAGCAAAAGGAAACCCAGTACCTAAAATAACCTGGAATCAACCAGATCTGAAGGTAAATGGGTGAACATGGCCAGCACTGATATCACTATGGTGTGACCCTACACTTTCATGAAACCTCATTTTGAGTCACTGCAATAGTTAATCCACATCATATGTTGGTTTGTGTCACTCCACACCACGGTGACCACAATGATTGTATCAGTCATTTTCATGCTCGAGGTCAAAAAAGACTCTTTGTTCCATGTCCCTATTGTCATCTCATCTGACATTCTACCCACTATGTGTCATGGGTTTATTTCTGGCAATTTGCACATTTGAAGCCAAGGACGGCTCTCAAAAACTTTCTTCTTTGTGGTTAGTTGACTAATTCCACCCAATCACTGTGGTTTAAATATCAAACTATAATTTGGGAAAGTTGTTCAGATATTTTTTGTGCTCTCTTATGTTTTTGTCAATTCTCTTGTTACATTTATAAAGTCCAGGGTTTAGCTCCCAACAGGTACACTGACTGTATGGAATATGTATGTTCTTCTCATTTTTCTGTGTATTCCTTTAAGTTTTGTCATGCAATCCAAAAACATGTTGGTAGGTTATCCTCTTCTGCACAAAATGGTACTTGCTTGTTGAGACAGCAGATTTTAAGCTCCCAAAGGCTCCTCCGTGCTGCTAAACCAGTCCCAGCAGCCAGTACTCTGGTGGCCGGGTGCCCCCTGGCATCATCAAGACTGAGGCAGGAGCCAAAGCCCTGTATTGTGTGTGAGGACGCCAGGGGACAGTCCACTGCTGAAGCATTATTATTAAGGTTTCATTGAAGATTTTGGAGGATTCCCAATCGGGAGAGAGCTGCATGACCTTGAACATAATTGTCTATATGCAGTCTTATTGCATTAATTTAGTGAAATTTGGACAATTGTCCACCAATGGGATTGTATCCTTTAAAGCTGAACTCCAGGAAAAGTAAAAATCCTCCCTTGTGATATTTAGGAATTTTTTGAAGAGTTTGCATGAGGCCGGCGTGCTCTATTTCTGTCTCAAAAGCCAACTATAGATGGATCAAATCTCAGCAGGGACTGTCCAAGGGACTGTCCAAGATTCAATCCATTGATGGGCAGGCTGGTTGATCCATCGATCAACTTCAGTACAACCAGCCTGCGGGATTTTTTGCATGTGGCTACTACTGGCGACTATAGGGAGGGAAGGCTCCCTGCTGACAGAAAACAATAGCACTGCCAACCCTGGTTGCAGGAAAAAAAATTTGCATCATCTGTGGCTTGCTTTCGTGTTATTTGGAGATTCCCCAGTCTGGAGAGAGCTGCATAGCCCTGAACATCATTGGCTCGCTACATTCCTATTGGATTTTTTTGAATGAACGTTGGATAGTTGTCCACCAGTGGGATTGTATCCCTTAAAGCCCAATTCGGGAAAAGTAAAAGTCCCCCCTTGCAGTATTTATCACTAAAATTTGATTAAAGCATTTACACAAGGCTCTTGTGAGCACTTTTTTTTTGTCTTTTAACACTTAGGAAGAGTCATTTGCCTTTCGCAACAGTCTCTCTCGCAGTGGAGCTTACAGTTTAATGTCTATAACTCATTTGTACACACAGCAAATTGGGTAATTTATCTGTATGTTTTGGCAAGACATTGAAGCACCAAGAGGGTACAGATAGTGTCCTTTTGGAATGAATTGAACCCAAGGCCACAGGGCTGCATTAATGTAGAAAGCTCAAACAATACAATATACCAACTCCATGCATTGGTGAGAACTAAGATCAAAACCTCATACTGCAAACCATTTCTAATAATGGTGTCCGTTTATGACACACAGAATAGCTGAGAATCAGAGGATCACAGCTTTTCTCTGGTCATTCACAGTTTAAGACACCCAGGAGAATATGTTCAGCCCTTCTCTGGAGATCTGTGTTCTCCCTCCAGATTCTCCAGCCCAGAGCTGGAGAATTGGAGGGACCGAAAAACTAAGCAGAGATAATTTACCTCTGCTTAGTAAACTGATCTTTTACTGTAATCTCGCGAGATTATAGTAAAATCAGCCATTTTCCAACGTTTGTAGACCGTTTCTCCCTTCGTTTGGAGAAGTGATCAACATATGCTTCATAAACGGCATTCACAGGAGAACTGTGTTCTCCGAGAATGCCGGAGAACTGAGCAGCAATCTATTACTGCTGGTTCATAAACGGACACCAATATTCGGTGGATTCTGGAGAAGATTGACTCCATAGACAATATACACAGTTTCAATTTCTGAACAAAACTTCTTGTCTTTAAGTTGTCAGACTGTCTAGCCAGCTAGCCAACCAGTGGTTATATCCTGTGTTTTTCTTTTAGGTGTCTGAGTCCTTCACTGACCCTGGAAGTACTAAGTAAGGTCTCCTTCAAGTTCAATTCCAAGACAATGAACAACATTTCCTGCAGTGCAGAAAACCGCCTTGGAATGAGAAAAAATAACTTCACACTGAGCATGTGTAAGTCTGACTTCGGAAAGGGTGTTACTTGGTCAATGGGAGGATGTATGAAAAAATATGATGAATGCGCGGTTGGCTGACCTTAGACGTCCTCCTGAGGTCACGACATATGAGGAACTTGGATGTTGTATGACAAGAAATTGCTTGTAGCTTTGGTTCTGCTAAGATGTATTAGACCTGTCATCTGTATTCTTTTTTTTCCAACTCCTGAATTGTTTTAGCAGAGAACAATACTTTGGTATTACATACCCCTTGTTCTTTCACATACTGTATGTTCCATTAACCTCTGTTATCAGACCTCTGGAGTATGTAGAACCTGATTAACCAGGGAAAGAGGGTGTTTTTTTGGATTCAAAATAGCTCTTTTATTAGAACAGTGCATGCAGAAAGATAACAAACTGTGACTGTCTACAACATCCCAACAACGTAGTACCTACTGGTCATGTGACCGAATGTTGCTGAAAAGTAATAGTTATACACTGCTTTTTATGACTTGTATTCTGTAAATTATATTCGTAATGTATAGATATCACGATCCAATGTAAGTGCATCCTGTTTATACAACCTAAAGGCTGTCACTCAGGTTCAGTTATAGCCCACCCAAAAAAAATAACAAACCCACCCCTGAGTAAGATAAACCCCACCTACTATAGTCAAAACCTTACTTCATTCTAGTAAAAAGTTACATTGTTAGGCTAAAAAAAGACACACATCCATTTTTGCTAAACCTTCCATTTGTGAAAATTTCCATATACAGAACCCTATATTTACAGTAGATCCAGAGCAGTGATCTCCAAACTGTGGCCCATGGGCTAAATGCAGCCCTTTGTTTGCCTTTATCCGGCCCTTGGGGTACTATTTCTTCCACTGACACCAACACTGAGGAACTGTACTCTTGCTGAAATCAACAAGGGAGCATTTCTTCTTCCACTGACACCAGCAATTGGGCATAATTCCTCCCACTAATACCAATGATGGGTCACTATTCCTTCTACTAATACCAGTGATGGGGCACTATTCCTCCCACTGATACCAATGATGGGGCACTATTCCTCCCACTGATACCAATGATGGGGCACTATTCATCCCACTGACACCAATGATGGGGACACTATTCCTCCCACTAATACCAATGATGAGGCACTATTCCTCCCACTGATAACAATGATGGGGCACTATTCCTCCCTACTAATACCAATGATGGGGCACTATTCCATCCCACTGACACCAATGATGGGGACACTATTCCTCCCACTAATACCAATGATGGGGCACTATTCCTCCCACTGATACCAATGATGCGGCACTATTCCTCCCACTGATACCAATGATGGGGCACTATTCCTCCCACTAATACCAATGATGAGGCACTATTCCTCCCACTGATACCAATGATGGGGCACTATTCCTCCCACTGACACAATGATGGGGCACTATTCCTCCCACTGATACCAATGATGGGGCACTATTCCTCCCACTGATACCAATGATGGGGCACTATTCCTCCCTACTGACACCAATGATGGGGCACTATTCCTCCCACTAATACCAATGATGGGGCACTATTCCTCCCACTGATACCAATGATGGGGCACTATTCCTCCCACTGATACCAATGATGGGGCACTATTCCTCCCACTAATACCAATGATGGGCACTATTCCTCCCCACTGATACCAATGATGGGCACTATTCCTCCCACTGATACCAATGATGGGGCACTATTCTCCCACTAATACCAATGATGGGGCACTATTCCTCCCACTGATACCAATGATGGGGCACTATTCCTCCCACTGATACCAATGATGGGGCACTATTCCTCCCACTGATACCAATGATGGGGCACTATTCCTCCCACTAATACCAATGATGAGGCACTATTCCTCCCACTGATAACCAATGATGGGCACTATTCCTCCCACTGATACCATGATGGGGCACTATTCCTCCCACTGATACCAATGATGGGGCACTATTCCTCCCACTGATGCCAATGATGGGGCACTATCATCTCCACTGACACCAATGATGGGGACACTATTCCTCCCACTGATACCAATGATGGGGACACTATTCCTCCCACTAATACCAATGATGGGCACTATTCCTCCCACTGATACCAATAATGGGCACTATTCCTCCCACTGATACCAATGATGAGGCATTATTCCTCCACTGATACCAATGATGGGGCACTATTCCTCCCACTGATACCAATGATGGGGCACTATTCCTCCGACTGATACCAATGATGGGGCACTATTCCTCCTACTGACACCAATGATGGGGCACTATTCCTCCCACTAATAACAATGATGGGGGCACTAACAATTCCTCCCACTACTAATACCAATGATGGGGCACTATTCCTCCCCACTGACATCACTGATGATGGGGCACTATTTCCCACTGACATCAATGATGGGGCACTATTTCCTACCAGTGATGGGGGCACTATTCCTCCCACTGACAATGATGGGGCACTATTCCTCCCACTGACATCAATGATGGGGCACTATTCCTCCCACTGACATCAATGATGGGGCACTATTTCTCCCACTGACATCAATGATGGGACACTATTCCTCCCACTGACATCAATGATGGGGCACTATTTCTCCTACTGATACCAATGATGGGGCACTATTCCTCCCACTGATACCAATGATGGGGCACTATTCCTCCCACTAATACCAGTGATGGGAACTATTCCTCCCACTAAAAGCAACTATGGGACACTATTCCTCCTTCTACTGTTATAGGCAGTATGTGATTTTTTATTTTTTTTTACCCCCATTGACGATGGGACATTTTGTACTCCCACTGGTCACTCTGGCCCCCCCTAAAGTCTGAAGGACTTTGTTTAAAAAGTTTGGAAACCCCTGATCCAGAGGAAAGCAAAAGAAACCCTTAGAAAGATGGTCCAATTTACTTCAAATGGGAAATAATGTTAAATTAAAATTTAAATTAAAAATTAAAAAGTTGGCAGAGGTCTCAAATGGAAGCATTGAGGCAGGAAAACTATCTCTGCAACCATTGACAGCCAATCAGATTACAGATGCACTTTCCTTTCTCCAGCTTTCCTAAAACAGCTTTAATTCTGCAGTATGTTGCATTTGCAGGCTTTTTTTCTGCCTATTATATAAGCTACAGGGGCGGACTGACAACTCATGGGCCCCCGAGCAGTAGGGGATCATGGGGCCCGTGTCCTTGCCCAAACTCAAAAAAGCATATGAAAAAGGTACCAGGGGCATCTCATGGGGACCCCTACTGACCCCGGGCCCTTGGGCAGTGCCCGAGTTTCCAAATGGTCAGTCTGCCCCTGATAACCTATATGTATAAACCCCCCACAAAAATGGAATCCTGGCAGTGGTATGTAAACTACACCAAACTGCAGTGACATATATGGATGTCTGTTATAAGTTTTTTATTTTTATATTTTTTTATTGTGCCTAAATTAATTAAGATAATATTTCTTCTCTTTGCCCTGCAGATGTGCCTCCAAGTGTGTCACCAGCTCAAGGTAATTAGCATCATAATTTATGGAACTATGATTATCTTTTCTCTATATCTGCTAGCATTGCTGATTTTCTAGGAGTAGTTTTGGGTTCAGGGGGTGATTCTTATCTGATAGGGGCTTCTGATTTTAAAGGAAGAACTGATGTGAAAGGGGGACTCTGATGGAAGGGGGTGCTCTGATGTGATTTGGAGGGAGCATCTGATGTGGAAGGGGGGCTTTTATGTGATGGGGACTTCTGATTAGAAAGGTATATCTGATGCGAAAGGGGGACTCTAATGTAATGGGGGGCTTCTGATGTGAAAGGGGGACACTGATGGAAAGGGAGTGGGCTCTGATGTAATAGTGGCTTCTGATGTGGAAGGGGGACTCTAATGGAAGAGGGGAGGGCTCTGATGTAATAGGGACTTCTGATGTGAAAGGGGGACTTTAATGTAATAGGGGCTTCTGATGTGAAAGGGGGACTCTGATGGAAGGGGGGGCCTTTGATGTAATAGGGGCTTCTGATGTGAAAGGGGGACTCTGATGGAATGGGGGGGCTTTGATGTGAAAGGGAGACTCTTATGGAAAGGAGGGGGGGGTGGGGGTGTTCTGATGTGATGGAAGGCTTCTGATGTGAAAGTTGAACTCTGACGGAAGGGGGGGACTTTGATGTAATAGGGGCTTCTGACGTGAAAGGGTGACTCTGATGGAATGGGGGGCTCTGATGTAATAGGGGCTTCTGATGTGAAAGGTGGACTCTGACGGAAGGGGGGGGCTTTGATGTAATAGGGGCTTCTGATGTGAAAGGGGACTCTGATGGAAGGGGGGGGGGGCTTTGATGTGAAAGGGAGACTCTTATGGAAAGGAAAGGGGGGGGTTCTGATGTGAAAGGGGGACTCTGATGGAATGGGGGGGGGGGGTTCTGATGTGATGGAAGGCTTCTGATGTTCAAGGTGGACTCTGATGGGGGAGGGGTTTTTTGAGGTAATAGGGGCTTCTGATGTGAAAGGGGGACTCTGATGGAATGGGGGGGGGGGCTTTGATGTGAAAGGGAGACTCTTATGGAAAGGAGAGGGGGGGTTCTGATGTGATGGAAGGCTTCTGATGTGAAAGTTGAACTCTGATGGAAGGGGGGGGGGCTTTGATGTGAAAGGGGGACTCTGATGGAATGGGGGGGCTGTGATGTAATAGGGGCTTCTGATGTGAAAGGGGAAATCTGATGGAAAGGGGGGGGGGGGGCTTTGATGTGAAAGGGAGACTCTTATGGAATGGAGGGGGGGGGGGGTTCAGGCTTCTGATGTGAAAGTTGAAATCTGATGGAAGGGGGGGGGGCTCTGATGTGAAAACAAACAAAGGATGGAAAACAATGGAGACCAATGCTCAATCGGTGCAATAAGTAAAGTACAGTAACAGCTAGGAGCCAATCAGATTTCCTTTTCATTGCTTTCATTGATCTCTACAACTCGCATGGTGCCTTTGAGGCTAATTGCATTCTATTGACTCTTGCAGAACAGACTGGTGGCAGCAGCACAGCCATAATCGCAGTCGTTTGTGTGCGTCCTCCTCCTGCTTCTGGTCGTTGCCCTCTTCTATTTCCTACAGAAGAAAGGAAAGTTGGCCTGCGGACGGTCAGAGAAACAGCCACTGTAAGTCAATTAGCTGAGATCGAAGCAGAAATGCCGCAAATCCAGTGAATGGGTGTAATGTAGGGATTTTTTACATACACAGGTAGATCAGGATGCTTTGATAACTCTCTCCTCTGTTGGCAACAAGCGCAAGCTCTTTAGCCACCTCCTGCCTGGCCTATTAGAATAATCTGGCTGTGTGGGAGCACCATTATCCTGGGAGGACACCCTCCCACTGGTGCGCCTTGTGTGCGTCCTAGGTGCCGTGCAGAATCTGTCACCCACTGGACACAAAGGAAGACAGATCATTGTGCCATGTGATCACTGTGACCAGTCATAAAAATGATTGCTTATAACAGTGATCATCACTGTAATAAGCAATCATAGTGTTAAAAAAAAAAACCTCCTGATCACCTCCCCAGAGTAGTACAGTTTCACTGTGGGAACACGCTATTGATCTGATCACAGTATGTTAAAAAAAATTGTAAAAAAGAGTCATTTGCATTTCCTATTTAGGGCAGACCAGTTAAAAAAATAAATACAATTTTAAAAAATAAATTAAAAACAGTTTAGCCTTTATTTCTATTTTAACAAACATTAAGATTTTTTTGTGAATCCCAGAGATTACTATAGGGCTCATGCACAGGCCGCAAGGGCATACAGCGTGCATCAGTGCCCAGAACCTCCGTAAAATCTTCTTGGGACCCACAGCTGCTACATACAGCCCATCCAGTGACGGAACTACAAAATGTATGCAGGTATGCACTGGCACTTGTGTAAAGCACGTGCATGGATGTATGACCCAATCGCAGTCTGCCTGAATTCAAGGCGTATGTTCACGTGTCTTTACACAAATACCGGTGCATACGTGTGTACAACTAAAAATGTGCAGTTAATTTCGTCCCGAATCAAATTTTCTGTTATTCAGACATTCAAAAATATCCGAATTGTGAATTACAACAGTAATGAATTTAAATGAATCTAAAATAACAAAACAAAATTTGAATCGATTCAATTTCGAAAACACATTAGAAAAAAAAAATCAAAAACCAACTCAAATTTGATAACAAATTCGAATTTGAAAACAAAATAGAATAGAATAGAACAGAAAATAAAGGAATAGAAAAAAATAGAATATAAAAGAATAGAATAGAAAGGAATAGAGGTAGACCCCTACGTGAGTCATATTTGTCCTTATGAAACTGTACATAGCTCTTCTCTCTTTTGTATCACATATGTTCCCATAATCTATAATTTTTTGATTTTATTCAATAAAATGTCTTTGGTACCAGAAAGTAATGGAGGAAAAAAGAACAGAATAGAAGCTCTAACAAACCAGGCCCTCTGTTTCCAATCGAATGAGAACCTCTGGTAGGCACAAGCATACTGCGCAAGGCCATGTTAGTGGAGCCATTGCCCATTGGGCGAAGATTTCAACCCGTAGAATCGCTGCAATGACCTTTGTCAAGCTATCTTCACTTTAAAATCTGTTATAACTGTAAAAGGATGCTGTCCTAAGTACTAAGATTGAATGTCACTTGGGGGATGAATAAAACTTGTACCAAATTGTTTTGTAACTGTAATGTCTACCTTCAGTTTGTAAATCGCTGCGCAAACTGTAGGCACAATATAAATCCTGTATAATAATAAATAGAACAGATTACAGTATACAATAATAGAGTAAAGCAGAACAAAATAAAATAGAAAATAAAGGAAAAGAAAAGAATAGAATAGAAAACAATAGAATCTATTAGGCTAGCATAGAAAAGAATAGAATAGAAAATCAAAGAATAGAATAGGAAAGAATAGAATCAGAATAGAAAAGATTAGAATAGAGAATCAAAGATTAAAATAGAAAATAATAGAGTAAAACAGAACAAAATAGAATAACAAATAAAGGAAAAGAAAATAATCAGTTAGAATAGAATTAGAATAGATAATGAAAGGCTAGAATAGAAAAACAATAGAACAGAATAAAATAGAAATAATATACCGGTAACTGTCTTCATACAGCCCATATACCATCAAAAACACATGGATTGTGGATTGTAAGATTAGAATTATTATCGAATTCGTTTGAAATTTCGAATTTGGTCAAATTTGAATTTGAATAAACGAATTCCGAAAAACAAATTAAACAAATTTAACTAGTAACACGAAACTAGAATAGAAAATCAAAGAATAGAATATAAAATACTAGAAGAGAATTGAACAGAAAAACAGAATTGTAAACTAAAATTAAAACAAAACTGTAAAAACTGTGAACTGCGCTATGGTGACGTGAATAGTGATCAACAAAGGAAATGTGAAACATTTTCTGAAAAAAAAAAATAGAAATTTCCAATATGGTCACGCAACTCTTCATACAGCCCGTATACCTTCAAAAACACATATGGATTGTGGATTATGGATTGTGAATTATGGATTGTAAAATTAGAATTATTATCAAATCCGTTCGAAATTTAGAATTTGGTTGAATTTGAATAAACAAATTCCGAAAAACAAATTAAACAAATTTAACTAGTAAAACAAAACTAGAATAGATTAGAATAGAAAATCAAAGAATAGAATATAAAATATTAGAAGAGAATTGAATAGAAAAACAGAATTGTAAACTAAAATTGAAACAAAACTGTAAAAACTGTGAGCTGCGCTATGGTGACGTGAATAGTGATCAACAAAGGAAATGTGAAACATTTTCTAAAAAAAAAATAGAAATTTCCAATATGGTCACGCAACTCTTCATACAGCCCGTATACCTTCAAAAACACATATGGATTGTGAATTATGGATTGTAAAATTAGAATTATTATCGAATCCGTTCGAAATTTCGAATTTGGTCAAATTTAAATAAATTCCCAAAAATTAACTAAATGAATTTAACTAATTGAACGAAACTAAATGAGTCGAATAACAAATATTTTTTTTTCCTTTTGCCCATGTCTACTTAGAACCACACCTTGTAGTTGCTGTCGCTAGATGAGCTGTATGTTGCAACTGTGCTTTCCGGGGAAGTTTTTACGGAAGTTCTTGGCGCTGACGCGCGCTGTACACCTTCCCTTCGCAGATGCGCGCACGAGCTCTTAAACCTCAAGAAAACTGTAGACGTGCGTTGTTTCTCTCCGGGTCTCCCGTCCCAGTTGCTTTGTTCTACACGTCTTCCTCCGCTCTGTTATCTCAGCAGAATCATATTGTGCTTTCATTATCTATGGACGCCCGCCAACCTATTCTTCTGTCTTAATCTGTTCTGTGGCACCCGGCTGCCTCGGGTTAGAAGTCACTGCATCTCCTGAGAATCCAGGCAGCACTCATAGCGCGAGCCGGGGATGTGGTTTCCATAGCAACTGCATCATATACGTCGTGCATACATATTCATGAGCTGAACATCCCGGGAGCTGAGTGCTTCTGCTTTGCATAGAGAAGCTATATAAGGGTAGGCCTTATGTATTGGGACATGCTGGGATTTTGTCACTGCCAAAGAGGATTTGTCACCAAGAAAAGAGTATCTGGTTATGGGGCATGTGTTTCTTACATAGTTAGTCTGGCTGAAAAAAAACAAAAAACCATCCAGTTCAACCAAAAAAAAAAGTTATAATCCTATACCCACATTTGATCCAAAGGAAGGCAAACATCCCAGCAAAGAATGATCCAATTTGCTCCTGCAGGGGAAAAAATTACTTCCTGATCCCCCGAGAGGCAATCGGATATTCCCTGGATCAACTTTACCTATAAATGTCTAGAGAGAGGAAGGGATATAATACACAAAGTGCCAACATCCCTAACGAATACAAGAGGGGGAAAAGTCTTCTTTTTTGGTGGAACTTTAACGGCACAATTTACTTGTATGATAAATTTCAACAATTCAAAAGAGATTTTTTTATAAAAACAGTATGAAATTTTATTTTTGCAATGTTCAAAAATAAATCTAAAGCTACAATACATATCGCGATGGTGTCATCAGAGACCTCACATGGAATCACGCGTCATGCCTTCTTGAGCACTTCTGAAGAAGAGATTTTTGTCAATCTCGAAACGCGTCAAGGTACAAACCATGCATGATCCATGATTAGATTTGCAATACCATCTCTGATGACACCTCCGCGATATGTATTGTAGCTTTTATATTTAACCAGTTCAATACCGGGCACTTTTACACCTTCCTGCCCAGGCCAGTTTTCAGGTTTCAGCGCTCTCACACTTTGAATGACAATTGTGCACTCATACAACATTGTACCCAAACTAAAATTTTACCATTTTCTTCACACAACTAGAGCTTTCTTTTGGTGGTATTTAACCACCGCTGGGGTTTTTATTTTTTGCTAAATTAACAAAAAAATACCAACAAGTTTGAAAAAAAAAAGTTTCTTTGTTTCTGTTATAAAAGTTTGCAAATAAATAATTGTTCTCCATACATTTAGGCCAAGATGTATTCTGCTACATGTCTTTGGTGAAAAAAACCCAAATTAGGATTTATTATTTAGTTTGTAGGAAAGTTATAGAGTTCACAAACTATGGGATAGATCTGAATATTGATCAATCCTGAAGTACTGACAGCCAATCTAATTTCTTGAGGTCCAAGAATGTCAGAACAGTACACATATCCCCCAATGACCCCTTTTTGCAGAGTAGACAGTCCAACGTATTTCATAACAGGTATGGCGAGTTTTTTGAAGTTGTATTTTTTTTGTCTTAATTTTTCGGAAAATGAAAAAATTTAAAAAATTAGTTTCAATATTTTTTTTTACATATTGTCACCAGTGCAGTACAGCGTCATCATATAATTGGCATGGCAGTGATCAGGGACACTGACTGGTGACAGTATGAAAAAAAAATATATATATATTTTTTTTTATTATTATTTTTTATTTTTTATTAATTTTTTTTTCTTTTTTTAAGATTTTTTTTTTCATATTTCACTATGACCAAAGTAGTACAATGTTACCATAGTAACATTGTACTACTTTGGGGAAGTGATCAGTGTTTTTTTTTTTTTTTACACAATTTGCTTATAGCAAAGAATT